CTGTTCATGCCATCTAGCGCAGGCCATCCCCTGGGGCCTGAGCTGGGCCCCATGTGCCTCAATGTTCCATGCCTCCAAGACCCACCTTGGCTTAATGAGTCACTAGAAAGCTCTCAAGACACCAAAAAGCCGTGACCTTTGAGGTCGGGGTGTGCTCGAGTAAAGGGTTACTGATCAAAAGCCTCAGAGGGACAGAGGGACAGTGACTTCTCCTTGTTCGTAGGACAGTGTCACAGTCTCCTCTCCTCCTGAGGGCAACAGTAGAGTTGGGTCAGGGCCCACCAAAATGAATTTGTTTAAACTGCATCATCTTTTTAAAGACATTGTCTTCCACAGAAATCCCATTCAAGGCTGAGCATGGTGGCGCACACCTGTCATCCCAGCAGTTGGTGGGCTGAGGCAGGAGGATTGTTGGGAGTTCGAGGCCAGCCTGGGCTACATAATGAGCTCAAGGACAGCCTGAGCTACAGAGCAAGACCCTGTTTAAAAAAAAAATTAAAATTAGACCGGCCGTGGTGCTACACGCCTGTCATCCCAGCACTCAGGAGGGTGAGGCAGGAGGATCACTATGAGTTCAAGGCCAGCCTGGGCTACACAGTGAGTTCTGGGTCAGCCTGAACTGAGACCCTGTGTCAAAAAACAAAACAGACGAACAAAAATGGTCAAAACATTGGCTATCATACTCCTCCACCGGCTGCTTTTGTTTGATAGATGTAAGCAGAAGAGACTTTTCAGTACAGACGCAAAAGCAACTGCAGAGCCCGAGGATTTGTTTCAAATGTCAAGGCTAGCCCGATATTCCTCAGTGACAGATTTCAGCCTTCTGCTAAGGTTTCCTCACTGAGACATCAGCCCCTCCTCGTGCACATGCAGGAGGGTTTGGACGGGGGACGGCAGCGTCATATGTTGCATACATCTTGCAGCCCGAACTGCCACCTTTTGCAGTCAACATTGCCACAGTGATGCTGGGACATTCTTCCAGGGGACTCAGATCTACCTGGGGCTGAGGCCCGCTCTTCCAACCTGTTTCCATGCTGGGTGTGAGAAAGGGGCACCCCCTTGAGCCCAGGGGTGGAGCCAGACTCCCCGGAGCAGGGATTTCCCAGGGAGAATCAAGCTTGACAATCCAAACTCCAGCCTGGTCCCAAAGGGAGAGGGCAGCAGCTTGTGTAGACCGACAGCACGCTTGTTTTTTTCATACTGGGGATTGAACCCAAGGCCTTCGCACTGAGTTACACCCCCAGCCCTGTGTATATTTTATGGTGAAGTAGGGTCTCACCAGGTGTGGTGGCACACCCCTGTCATCCCAGCACTGAGGAGGATGAGGCAGAAGGATCTCCACAAGTTCAAAGCCAGCCTGGGCTGCATAGGGAGACCCTGTCTCAAAAGAAAATAAAGTGATTACTACAGTCAAACCAACTTTCATGTCCATCATCTCAGAGTTTACTTTTTTTGTTTTGTTTTGAGACAAGGCCTCACTCTAGCTCAGGTTGGCCTCAAACTTGCAGCGATCCTCCTGCCTTAGCCTCCCAAGTGCTGGGATTACAAGCATGTGCCTCCACTCCGGGCAATCATGCAGTCTTTCTTCTTTTTTTGGTACCAGGGATCGAACTCGGGACCCTGCACTTTCGAGGCAGGCGACAGAACCACTGAGCTAAATCCCCGGCCCCTATCATGCAGTCTTTCTGTGCCTGGTTTATTTCCCTTGGCATAGTGTTCTCCAAGTTCATCCATGTGACCACAAAAGACAGGCTGAATAGTACTTCACACATGTATGCATGCACTGTGTGTGTGTGTGTGTGCGTGCATGTGCACGTGCACATGCACGTGAACACTCTCTTGTTCTCTTTACCCATTTGTTCGCTGATCGGCACACAGTCATGTCCACACCTTGGCTTTGTGAACAGCACCCTGGGCACATGAAGCATGGGCGGCTCTGATTCCAGCTTTCAGAGGATTCTCCACCCCACTTCCCAAAGGGCTCCTGTCTGCACCCTCATCTGCCCTTGCTCTTTCCAGTCTTTCTGAGGACAGCCACCCTAACAGGCAGGTGACAAGCAGATGGAGACCAAGCTGTGGCCATGTAGGGGGGCTGAGTCTAGAGGCCTGAGGAACAGCATAAGGACCTTGGGTAATATTCCTGTATCGTCTGAGGGAAATGTGCAAAGAGCACTACAGAAAAGTGATCCACGGCTCAGGTAGAACATGAGCCAAGCATGCATAATGCCTGGGCTCAGTCCTAACTGCACGCACACACACACACACACACACACACATACACACACAAGAAGTTGCTGGGCGTGGTGGCACGTGCCTGTCACCCCAGCACTCTTGGAGGCTGAGACAGGAGGGTGTCTAGTTCAAGCTTTGCTTGGGCAATTTAGTGACTTAGGGAGACACTGTCTCACAATCCAAAACAACAGGCAGGGTTTGGGGAGTGATGGCTGAAAGGGTGTGAGAGGGAAGGCCAGGGTGGGTAGAGCTCTGGGTTGCAGACGGGCACCCAGCAGATGGGGGAGAGGAGCTTGGGCTGGAATGCATGGCACCCCCGGTACACACGGACCATCCAGGACAAGGTCTCACTCATGTTTGAGCATTTGTTTTGGGGTTTTGTGTGTTTGTTTTTGTTTTCTGAGATGAGGTCTTGCCATGGAGCCCAGGCTGGCCTCAAACTGGCAGCAATCCTCCTGTCTCTGCCTCACGAGTGCTAGGATGACAGCTGCTTTTTTTTGTTTTACTTAGCCTATGCTGCTGTGTGTCTTGCAAATGCTGCCCTGCCTCCATACAAGCAATGCTGGAGATGTCCCCAAAGGTGTGAGTGGCAGGCTGGGTCCCCCACGCAGCCATGGACTGACACAGGGCTGGTCCCAGCAAGACAAACTCTTGAGAGATGGCGGAGGCTGTGACCCTGGCAGGCTGACATTCTCAGGGATTTTGTCCCCATGCACCAGCAAGCTGCTCAACATAGCTGTAACTTTGTAGAAGTCAAGAAATGCAGCCCCTCCGACTTTGGGTTTTTTTGAGACAGTCTTGCTATGAAGTTTGGGCTGGGCTTGAACTCACTAAGAAGCCCAGGCTGGTCTCGGAACTTGCCACAATCCTCCTGCCTCAGCCTCCTGGAATGACAGGTGTGTGCCACCTTGCCCAGCTGTTTTGTACTTCATTTATTGTTTATTCCTAAATATTTGACTTTTTGATGTTATTAGAAATGGAATTGCTTTCGTAGTTTCATTTTTACGTCATTTATTATCGATATATAGAAATACAACTAATTTTTCTTTCACCCCTGTATCAACCCTCATGCCCTGCCATCCTGCCTTTCACATTTGATGGTTAAGGTATATTTTGATCATGTCCATTCCCCCATTACCTGCCTTCCCTTGTGTCTAAAAATCTTCCTTCTGGGCAGGGCCTGGTGGCACACACTCAGCCCTTGGGAGGCTGAAGCAGGAAGATCTCTAGGAGTCTGAGGCCAGCCTGGGCTACACAGTGAGCTCAAGGCCAGCCTGAACTTTATAGCAAGACCCTGTCTCAAATTTTTTTTTAAATACTGGTCTCCCTTCTTAGATTCCACATTAGGGACGTGATACTTCTTTCAGTCTGCCTTCCTTCTCTCAACATGATGATCTCCAAACCTACTCATCTTCCTGCAGGCGACATTGCATTCTTCACAGCTCAATAATACTCCATTAACTTTCAATTTGTATTTCTGGATGGCACATACTACATACTCATTTTCATGTATTTCTCTGGCATACTACAGCTTTGCTGAGTTCATTTATTTCTTCTGAGAGTTTTATTTGGAAATTCCTCGGGATTGTCTGGAAACAAGGACCTGTCATCTGCAAATGCAGTTTTACGTCTTCACTCCCAGCCTGGGTTTCCTTGCCCAGTGACCCTGGATTCTGAACTTGGGGGAAGCTTGCACCCAGCTCATCAAGCAGCAGCCCATTGGTGGCCTGCACAGCACTTGTTTCTGCCGCTGCCCTTGTTGCTGGGTGCTGGGCCCTGGCTTAAGGCTCATGCAGGCCCTTGCCACCTCCACGAGTTGTCCCTTTAAATGCTAGCAGCTCAGGTGCAGGACAGAGCTCGGTGTTTCCAACCCCCTGATTATAATCAACCACACCATGCAGCAGAGGCTCCCAGCCTCAGATTGCAAACTGCCTCTGATTACTTTAGGGAAGACTGATTAAGGAAGTTTATTACAGAAACCGAAGGCATCTGGCCTGGGAATTCAGCTCAGTGGGGCCAAGCCCGCCTGGCAAGTGCTAAGTCCTGAGTTCGATCCCCAGGACTAAAAAAAAAAGAAAACTGAAGGCATCCAACCTCCCCAAAACAGTAAGGGCTGGGCGTAGTGGCCACACTCAGGAGGGAGGCTGAGGCAAGATAATGCCCGTGAGGTACAGGTCAGCCTGGGCTACACAGGGAGACCCTGTCTCAAAATAAGTTCCCCTTTAGTCGGACATGAGTAATCCCAACACTTGGGAGTCACCCCTTTCGGTTTTCCCCTCCCGTGGTGGTACGGTGAGTTACAGAAGAGAGGCACAGGCCGGGCGTCTCTTGCCCACTTGCCAAGGTTGGCATTTTTCCACAGCGTGGCCTGTTCGTCCCTTGTCACACAGCAGCAGGTGTAGTCCAGGATGCAGTGACAAGGACAGGGCTGGGACACACGGGATAATCCTTGAACAAGTGCCTCTAGGCTGAGCTCAGAGCCACAGGCTTATGTGAGTGACGAACTAGAGAAAGCTCAAGACAGGCAGTTCCGGCATGGGCCATGATTGTGGGGACAGACTGGGCTGTGACTGGGACTGTGACCATGACTCCTGCCCACCCAGGACCTGACAGGGCAAAGGATGCTCCAAAGCTCTCAAAGTTAAACACCATAGCCACACACAAAACTAGAATTAAAGTTCACAATAAAGAAGAGTCAGCAGGGCCACAGACAGGGGGTGATTTTAGCCAGACTCTTGTGGGTCAGAAATTTGCACTGTTATCATAGAGATTTTGAAAAATGTAATACTGTTTATTTAACTTGGAAAACATTTCAGCATTCTAAACATACAAAAAAATAACACAACGTTGCAAATCCTGTTTAAGTACAGAAGCTTTTTGAACCTTCATTGGCTCTCTGCGGAAAATGAAGAGTTCTACAGTCTGGAAACAGTTTCCATCTACTGCACTTAACTAAAAAAACAAAACAGTGAGGAATCCAAACACTTCTCATGCCAGCTGACCCTCTCGGCCCCCAGCTAAGATGGGCAGCAGGATGCTGGGTCACTATATACAGAAGCTGACTGGACGCCCGCCACAGCCGCGGCGACAGCTCTACGGTCCCCTCCAGGTGGCATTTGTCCCACAGCCTCAGCGCCAAGCAGGGGGCACCGAGGGTTTGCCTGGATTGCTTTGATCTTTTTACAAACTCTAGATATGTACAGTTGGTAGCTAAGGGTTTCTGACCAATAACCACATAGTTAACACCACCTTACAAATTAAAAAACAAACGAACGGCAGAGACATCTTCAAACGCCTTTACACACCAACAGCAAAGTGCACAGAGCGAGGAGGAGAACACGGAGTGCCTTTTCAGTTTAAAAATGTCTGGAAATATGTACAGCTTTGATACAGTTTCACAGCGCTCCAGACCCCCAAGCCACACAGGGCAACTACCGCCAACTTCCAGAGCATTTGAGACTACACGATCGAACTCGGGCTGGCATTTAACCTAAGAGACGTTCAGTCGCGGCGCTCCCTACACTAAGGGATTCACAAGGAGACAGAGAAACAGTTTTTTATTCATCCTCCTCCTCCTCCTCCTCCTCCTCCTCCTCCTCTTCTTCTTCCTCCTCTTCTTCATCTTCCTCTTCTACCTTTTTCCGGGGAACTTTAGCAGGGCCCTTAGCACCATCAAACTTTCCTTTGGACTTATAGTCGGCCACGTCCTGGAAGGAACGGGGACATTAATTTTCAAGCATCCTTGAAGTCATGTTAACAACCTTGTTGAAACTTTGTTTTTTTTACACACACACATGCTGGGCAAGCACCCTACCACTGAGCTGTACCCTCAGCCCTACTGTTTTTTTCCTGAGTGAAGCTAGAGGGCCGGGGATATAGCTCAGTGGTTCCGGCACCTGCCTTGCAAGGGAAAGGTCCAGAGTTCGATCCCCGGTACCAAAACAAGGAAAGAAATGAGTGAAGCTAGAAAGCAGGCATGGTGGCACAGGCCTATAATCCCAGCACTCTGGGAAACTGAGGCAGGAGGAGCCCAAATTCGAGCCCAGGCCCAGCAACTCGGTGAGACCCTAGTGTGAAAGCCCTGGGCTCCATCCCTAGCACCGCAAAAAAAGGCAAAATTGTAAGCCTGCCTAAAGTTGGACCCCAGCCAGAACACACAGGTGATCTTCGGGGAAATGGCCCCTTTCGGGCCGGAGGCAGACTCGGCCTCCGCCTTACCTTCTCATACTTCTCCTTCAGCTTCGCTGCCTTGGTGATGTAGGGCTGCTTTTCACTGTCACTTAAGTTATTCCACATCTCACCAAGCTTTTTGGCCACATCTCCAATGGAGATACCAGGGTTGGTGGATTTTATCTTGGGGCGGAATTCTGAACAAAACAGGAAAAATCCAGACCTGGGGGGGGGGGGCAGAGGAGAGAAGAAGTATATAATTTAGATAAGGATCCAGAAAGAAATGTGAGCTTAGGTCACATTCCTGCATTCCTGAGCTCACATTTTTCTTTCTGCAAGTTCTTCCTAAAGGGGAGAAATACACACCACATGCATTGCTACAGAGTTGCAGCTTCTTAGGCTGCTTAAGGTGCTACAGGCACGAGTGGCGGGGTGTGGAGTAAAGAACACACCTAGGGAGCCCCAGCACCCAGAATCAGGGTGCTGCTTTCCTTCTGAGAGGAAGGCTGACAGGCCCCCACTGTGCACTTCTGTGCACGCACGCACACACAGCCAATGCACATGCCCACAGCTCACACACACTGACGCTGCATTTAAATGTTCAAGCACGAATATCTTGCAGAAGCATTTTGGGTAAAGTTATCTTTCAAGCAGCAGGAAAGTTCCCAGTCACTTACGGTGGTCTTTTGGGGGCATTAGGGTCCTTTTTCTTCTTGCCTCCTTTTGCAGGTCCATAATCTTTCATCTCTCGGTCATAGCGCACTTTATCCGCCTTGGCCATTTCGTCAAACTTCGATTTCTCCTTCCCAGACATCGTCTGCAAAGAGCAAGGCCCATTAAAATCCCTCCATACAAGAAGCATGCTGTTGGACTGGCCTGTGACCCAAGTGGCAGCTGTCGCCGTTACAGACATAGGGTGCAAATGGGACCAAGGCTCAGTGTAAAGCCCTACAGAGCCTTGCCACACACCCGAGACCCTAAAGACGGTCTCAGTGGTCTCAGTAGGGGAAAGGAACAGAGACTCGGAAGGACAAACGTGGAATGCAAAGGAAGCAAAAGAATACCTTCCACCTCTCCGAGCACTTCTTGGAAAATTCTGCAAAATTGACAGGGACCTCCGGGTTCTTCTTCTTGTGCTCTTCTCTGCAGGTCTGCACAAAGAAGGCGTAAGCAGACATCTTGCCCTTTGGTTTCTTGGGGTCCCCTTTACCCATCCTGACTGTGAAGGACACAAAGAAGAAACAATAAGGAATGGAATGAGGAATAGTGGAGAACTGAAAGGCAGGGCAAAATTCCAATCAAATTTTCCAGTAGGAAACCCCTGCCCCCAACACCTGACAGCTCTAGCAGAAAGCGAGGGAAGGAGACTGGCTTCACTGTCACTTGTCATTTAACTTGAGACCAGCATGAAGCGCTGGTTTGTGAGTTGCTTCTCCAGATGGCACGGACTACAGTGCTCTGTGCCCTGATCCCCAGCTCCTTGGGCTTCGATGGCTTGGAGCACAGCAGCCCAGAGTGGGCAGGGCATAGGGAGGACGCATATGTAGGGGTAGGTGACAGAAACCTGAAATCCGTGACTAAGCCTAGCTGGCTATCCCTTTAACTCCTGTGTTTGTTTGGAGAAGACAAAAACAAAAACGATTACTGCTGCTAACCCAAAAGCCCATAAATTGCTAACATTTGAGATCACTGTTTGTGGGTGCTTTTTGGTTCAGAGAATTGGTTTTTACTACAAGGCAATGTGGAAAGTGACCAGGCAGCCCTTGTACTGTTAGTTTCCATATGTCACTTTTTCGCTAGGTAAAGGGGGAGGGGACATCCAAAGGGCTTGTCTTGGCCCAGTGGACCACGGAATACAGGTCTAATCAAGAACACTTTCTCCAAAGTTTCCAAAGAAAAATGCTGCCGTGGCGAGTCATCATCCCCATCCTACCCCCAGCTTCCCGCCATCTTTTCCTTTTCCAGCACCCAAGGTCATCACGGAAAGCTCAAGCGCTCTCCCCGCAGCGATCGCCTCGGGCCCCACAGCGGCAGCCCTTTCGGGTGTGGAGCCCGGCGCTGGGGAGCCCAGGCCGGCAGCTGGCAATGCCACTTGGCCCCCGCGCCGGGTCCCCCAGACACCCGTAATTCACCTTCCATTTTGTTCCAAGTCTCCCAATGAAAGAAAGTGGCCCCAAAATCCGGTGCTGCCACCCCCGGGGGGCGCGCGGGACCGGGGGCGGTGGCAGCGCGCGGGGGGTGGGGACCGAGCCGGCGGTGGTGGCGGTCGCCGCGCCTCCCGATCCCCGCTCGCTAAAATGGCTGATCAGCGCGGCCGGCGAGGGCGGCGGTGAACAAAGCGGCCCGGGCTC